AGAGTTTAGGGTGCAGGGTTCAGGGTTTAGAGTTTAAGGTTCAGGGTTTAAGGACGGCCAGAGAAAGTAATCGTCCCGCTGTTGTGGACCTTTCGCGGAGGACTACTAAATGCTTAACCCTGAACCGCAAATCCAAAACCATAACAAAAACTATCCGTGCAACGGTTGTTCACCTTTGGTCTGCACTGGGCATTAAAGAATGTACCGCAAACCGTTCGAAAGCACGGCTTAAGACTTTAAAGAAGATTGCTGAGGTTATAGGGGTCTGGGGCCTTCAGGACACAAGTTCGGCTTAGGGTTCAAGAGTCTGTTGCGGTTGAGGGTTTGAGTTTCGCCTTCTTGAAGGTGTCGGGCCTCCACGCCGCCACCAAACGGTGAGACTTTAGGGTTTGGGCACCAAGACTGCAACAAAATCAGCATCACATTGTGGTAGAGTTTAGTTTATTGGAATCTAGAGATTCTTGGCTTAGGGTTTAAGGCCCGAGAGCTCATGACCTTAAATTGCGTACCACACAGCTCATCGGCGCATGTCTATCAGCTCTCGAACCCTGAAGACCCCGATGAAACCCTTAACATCCCAACGCGAAAGCACGACAGCCTGAGCAATTAACCATACTAGACCCAAAACCCCTAAACCCTGAACCCATTTTTGCATCAGGACTTGTGCAATCGCCTGAATGTCTGAGCCCTTTTTGCATCAGGACTTGTGCAATCGCCTGAATGTCCGAGCCTACAGAAGTTCAGCTCTCATGACTGTGCTTGCATACCGTGCTCAGGAAAACTCGCAGACACACCCTAAACCCTAAACGCCTAAACCCTAAGTCCTTTACAAAGTCCTAAACCCCAAAGCCAACACCTCAAAAGCTGGGCCAAGGCACGTGAAGGCAATATAGAAAATGAACACAAAGACCCAGCCCGTGGAGAGCAACTGTCGCGAGAAGGCTTTTGAACAAAGATCCGCCTACAGTAGGGCCCGAATCCTCAGAGAAGGGCACATTGCGCAGCAGGTATTTGCAATGTGCAGAAAGAAATCGACTAAAACAGGACATGGTGACATGGTGTTGCTATTTGCTGATGCGGGCTCCCGTGTTGAGGCACGCGGTCTGTTAGTTGAGGGTTCCATGATCCCGAACCCGAACTGCTAAACACCCTCACCCCCACCACCCACATCAGTGTATGTCAAACCCGGGACCTCCTTTCTTCGGGTCTCAATTTGGTGCTCCTTAACGGGGGTTACTTGAAGATCCTTACTTGCAACTCGTCACGAACCCCAGATGTTAGTCAGGGAAGTTAAAGGGCAAGTCGGGCCTTTGGAACCGCACAGTCTCAAGAACTGAACCCTAAACCCTAAACCCTAAAACCTAAACTTACCCTAAAAACTAAACCCTAAACCCTGAACCCGTGAAGATAAGATGGTCACAGTGTGGAGTTCGGCGATTCGGGCTTGAAGGTTCGCGGTGGCATGGCTTACCGTTCCAGCATTGAGCTAGCTGATACCACACTTGCCTATTTAGGTGGACGGCACCACGCAGCGCCCACCCTCGGATGAAATCTATCTTAAGTCCTCAGCCTCAGTACCAGGATAATCCATCCAAAGATCCCAACCTGAGTTACCATCCTAGGAATAATATGTTTGCAACTCCCTGGATGCCATCCACCTAAATAGGCCAGGGGTCCCTTATAGAATTTGGTTCAGGGCTTGGGGTTAAGGGTAAAGCATTCCATGTAGAAACTCTAAAATATTTATGAAATATAACTGCTTTTACGTATTATACTGACATCATAGCATTATTGCACAAAATCCGACTGTTTTGTTCCGGCTTGTCATCCACTTTAAGCTGCCTTTATGTAAGCTTCCTGGACAAGCCCAAATGTGTTTAAGACAATTGTAAGAGTGTTTACTGACACACACAATTGAAACCCTTTGACTCGTCTACAACGACAACAGTTTTCTTGATCTTAACAGTGATTAGCCTTGCGGCTGGGATCTTGAGATAAATTATCCTAGTATTGGGTTGAGATGTTAAGAAAGATTATCCTAGGGTGGGGCCTGGGTGGTGCCATACACCTAAATATGCAAGGTATCCTCCGCAATGATACGGGGGAAAACCCTCAACCCTAAACCCCTCAACCGGTGCTCATTCACGGTTCATAAGCGGACACACATACGGCGCAAGCCACGCTATGAGCCATCGGCCCCCTGAAGCCGAAACCTCGGACCCTGAACCACAGACCCTGAAGACTAGACCCAGCTAACCCTAAACCCTAAACCCTCCCCTAACTTCAAAATCCTGAACCCCCAGTAGCAAAATCTGACGGCCTGGAGTTCTCCCACGACCTCGACCCAACTGACACCCCCGGCGATGCTCATGAAGAGGGCGAGCATGGAGGTCTGGATGGGCTTGGAGCTTGGGGTCCACTGTTTGGGGCTTGAGGCCTCAAGGGTTGATGGTTGGGGCTTAGGGATTAGGGCTGAGGGTTCAGGGGTTTAGGGTTTAGGGGTTTAGGGTTTAGGGGTTTAGGGGTTTACGGGTTTGGGGGTTTCGGGGTTTAGGGGTTTCGGGGTTTAGGGGATTTTTGCCTCCTACTTAGCAAGGAGGATCTCGGGTGCTGGGGCTTGGGGTTCACAGGTAGTCGTAACTACTGAACCCCTAAAAAGCACTAAAACCTAAACCCTAAACCCTAAAACCTCGAAACCCTAAACCCGATAACCGTAACACCCTCAGCCTCCAAGTTTCCAACACGAGAAGCACTAAACATCGCGCCTGGAGTGATCCGAAGAAGCGCGTCTTAGACGTCGACATCTGAGGATGGAAGGACAAGGGGCTGGATTCCGGATTGAGGCGTTCGGGCTGAGTGAGAGTTCAGGATTATTAGGATTAGGGTTTAGGGGTTAGGATTCAGGGCTAGAAGACTGTGTATGCTGTGGAGATTTCAGAAGAAGAACTGAGATGCTGAAATCCTCGAGTTGAAAACATCTGCGACCCATGAACCTTCGCGCCCTGAACCCGAAAAGAAAATCTACTCTGCAAAACCTCAACCTTTGCAGCCTATACCCGCGTAGCTGCCTGAAACATCAGGAGACGCAGTAAGTAAGTTATATCTGGGGTTTGTCGTACCCTCATGAGGGTGATGCTGATGATGGTGATGATGCTGATGATGATGATGATGATGTAGATGATGACGATGATGGTTACTACTCGTTGAATTTTTTGTACGATGGGGTTATGACAGTCAAAAGTAGTAATCGTGTTCTTGAAAATATTTACATACAAGCCAGGTAGGCTGGCTCCTTCAAGTCAAGTCGGGTTTGTTACTAGTACCTTGGGTACTGCATACAGTAACAGGCTATGATAGGGCTACTGTTCAAGGCTCTATATCTCTATGTCAACACTAATATTCAACTGTCACTCAGTATCCAACTGGCACCCCTTCATCCCAGAAAGCCCAATACCCACTAACTATGGCATAAATAAAAAACCGAGAATACCCAAATTCACTCACCAATATTCGCAAGGAGCCCGACTGAAACGCGACAGCCCCTCATATAAAACCCCTATGGTAACCCTTATAGACTCTATTGCAGGAACGTGTATAGAACCCCTTACAGTAGTCAAGCACCCGATGACTGGACCTCCAGAGGGGGCTCCAAAAGCGTGGCTCCGTCGAGTAGGAGGAAATCACCGGCTGCCTGCGGCCACAGGAAGGCTCCAAAAGGATCGCTTAAGGCTTGACAAGGGCTCTGCAAAGCCTCTACACGGTTTGTGTAAGGGCTCCCTGTGACTCTCCGGCCACCTCGCCTTCGCAGGTCTCATACCCTAACGCACTGGAATCTCACTGTAGGTGAGGGTGTCGCCTTTGGAATAGACAAGGGCGACAGCATTTGCCATAGTTAAGAAGGGCCAAGGTGCCGCAGTCTTCTTACTTCTGATCCCAAATCCGTAGCCATACCCTAAACCCTAAACAATAGGAGCAGGGTGCTCTTGAAATGCCATCGATGAGGATCACGGCGCTTACCAGCAGGCTACAGGCTTCTAGTGCAGAATCACCGCGGTTCCGCTGCAAAAAACAGTCTCCATTCAACTTATTTAGCTCCGTGATCCACAGAGCCGGGTTTGCGGTTGAGCTCTGAGGCATCTAGAACCCAACTCTTTATTTACATATATATTATACTATATTATATTATATTATACTATAATATATTATATTATATTATATTATATTATATTATATTATATTAAATTATATTATATTAAATTATATTATATTATATTAAATTATATTATATTATATTATATTATATTATATTATATTATATTATATCATATTATATTATGTTATATTGTATTATATTAAATTATATTATATTATATTATATTATGTTATATTATATTATATTATGTTATATTATATTATGTTATGTTATGTTATGTTATGTTATGTTATGTTATGTTATATTATATTATATTATATTATATTATATTATATTATATTATATTTTATTATATTGTATTATATTATATTATATTATATTATATTATATCATATTATATTATATTATATTATATGTATATATATATATATACATATTAAGCCACTATCTTTGCCTCCTGCATGGCTGAGCTGAAAAACCCTGCTTAGTGATTCGCTGAGACATACAGGAGCCTAAGGGATGAAGGTTTAGGGTTTAGACGGTCTGCGATCCCTACGACCCAACTTCCGCGCGGTCCTGGGTGAAGAGAACGGCGAACACCT